CCATGTGAGGGAAGAAAGGAAGTTATCCTCTAAAGGATGGGGCTGAGGGGGAAGACTGGCGCTGGGTGGAGATCGGCCAGTCAAAGAGAAGACCCAACTAGAACACACACGACCTGAAAGAAGGGGGCTCTTTGCCGAGAGGAAGTGGACCAGCATGGGAGAAGAATGAAGCAAAGAACGAGACAAATAAAGCCACAACAGAGCACCAGATGTGGTGGCACACACCTTTAATCCCAGCACTCAGGAGGTAGATGCAGGTGGAGCTCTGTGAGTTTGAGACCAGCCTGGTCTTCAGAGTGAGTTCCAGACAGCCAGGGCTACACAGAGAAACTGTGTCTTGAAAAACAAAAAACAAACAAAACAAAAACAACAACAAAAAAATCCAGAATAGTATACATGAAAAAGCCATACATTTATTTCTTTGTATGTTGATCAAAAACAATTAATTAAAAAAAATAAGAGTTCTGATGAAAAGTTTCTGCACCTCAATAAACCTGTCCGCCAGCGCAGCAATCCAAATCAGATCAAATCAAACGGAATTAGAAAATGCCCAGGTTTAATGGGCAAAATGCTCCCGGATGATCTTCCAGCCCCCCAAAGAGTAGACAGGGAAGAGAGACCCCAAAGAAGTGTCTGTTTTCTGGGTGGCAGTTTAAATACCATGTGGGAGTGGTCTTGAGCATCTCTGGGAGAGGGGTCTTATTTGTTGGGCTTTCTGAGCTGCCACAGGGTTTGGAGAGAGATGGGGGAGGGGATTTGGGGTGAAGCTTCCACAGAACACCCCAGACTCTTTGGGTATATGGATGCTAGGGGCTGGAGTGGAAGCTAGCCTCACCTATGAGCTGTTGGAAAGGCGGTGGAAGAGAAGGTGACCATTTCCAGACATTAAAGACAGGACAAACGGCCGGGAAGGGAATTCCTTTCATTCCGGCAATCAAAGGTGGGTATCGGTGAGTTCAAGACTACCCTCATCAGGGATGTACTTCAAGTACCTCTGGAGCTCTGGGTTTCATTCCCAATAGCACAAACAACTGACTGATTGGTCAACTGATGAAGCAACCAAAACCTATCAAAACATGAACTGAACTTACATGTAGGAAAGCACAAACAAAGGCCTAAATAAATGGGATGAGGCTGTGTTCGAGGACTAAAAGACTCAGACCATAACGATGCCAATGTGCTGCTCAAACTACTTTATACTTTTAACATATTTCCTGCCACAGGGCTGACAGGATTTCTCTGTAGCAAATGAGGCTGCTCCTGTTTCCCATGGAAGACAGTGAGGTAGAAGGTGGAAGGCCTGGGGAAACGGCTCAGCCCTTAAGAGCACTTGCTGCTCTTGTAGTGGCCCTCAGTTCAATCCCTAGCACCCACACAGGCACGGGACAAGCAGTGGGACACAAATGCAGGTGTATATGAAGCACTCCAGTAAGGTGGAGAGCAATAAGGAAACACTAGCTGCCAACCCCTTGAAGGAATACACATGCACACACACACGTGAATGAACACAGGTACAAGTGTACATGAGCACAAACACATTTTTAAATATTTAATCTTAATGTGTATGAGTGTTTGGCATGCGTGTATGAGCACCATGTGTGTGCAGTACTCAGAGGTCAGAAGAGGGATCTATATGCCCCAACTAGAGTTAACAGGTATGAGTCGCTGTATGGGGGAGAAACAAACCAGGGTCCTATGCCAGGGCAGCAAGTCCTCTTAACTGCTAAGCCATCTCTTCAACCCAACATTTTTGAAATTTAAAAACAAAAACAAAAAACCAGAACTATGGTACAACCATATGCTTACACTACTACACAGCAATAAAACAGAATGGGCTACAGAGGATCCCAAACTAGCTGTGACTGGCTCAGAATATTGACATGATACACCCAGTAAAAGCACACTTGGAATCCTGGATCCTGACCTCACCCAGGTGTGGGCTACACACTGTTCAGTGCTGGGCAGTCAGCCTCGGAGCCACACGATCAAAAGGCAAACAACATACCACAGTGTACTGTGTTTCGAAGCTAGGGTATTTGGTCTTGTCTTGCGCATCTTCTTAAACTTTCAGCTTATGATGGGTTTGCTGCGAACCCTCAGAGAGCATCTGTACTGATACAGGCAACAACCTAGGTGCATTTCCAGGGAACTGTACTGATTGAAACAGGCTAATCCACTTACACGCTGCATGGTTTTCTTATTTTAATGTCCTAGAACTGGCAAAATTATAGAAATCCAAACAGGCAGCAGTTGCCAGAGGTTGGGACACAGAGAGGCAGCAGTGGGAGCTATTCTCATGAGGGTGGAGTTATTGTGCCGCCTGACCACAGTGATGTCAGTGTCTTGACGGCGATACTGTTATACGTTTCCGTGGGTTGCTACCATCGGGGAACTGAATGAAGGGTAGGGTACACAGAGAACGTCTCATATTTCTTACATGTCTCTACAATTATCTCCAAATAATAAAATTAGAACCTGCTACCAATGAAACAGTGATCCCTTCTCCAGACCCAGCTAACCCAAACTGAAAGGCAATGCCCGAAGTGTAAGGCACCTGTTAGTTGAGGGCCCCCAAGGCCGCTTTCAAACTTTCTGAGAATCTAACAGAGCCGGCACAATCACTCCAGGAATCTACTAGAGATGAGTTTTTAACTAAGACTAACATGCAGAAGATCCAACACTGGAGCTCATCTCAAGGTGGCTCTGAGGGAACTGGGAACCTGCTCAGAGTATGCCAGCGTATGAGGACAAAGGAGCTTTTATAACTGTTAAGAACGAAGAAACGCTGTTTCTCAATCCACCAACGAGTAACCAAGAGTGAGGAGATTAATGAGAAAATAGAAAATAAAAGTAGGTTTTGAATCCGTGGACAGGAAACAGGCTTGGGAAAGCCTTTGGTCCTGCAGGTACCCTGGTCCAACCTCCACATCTCAAGTAAGAGAAAAAAATGTATGTGCCATTCTCATGGAGGATACTTTTTCACCAGGTAGGCATTTCCTGAACTGAGACTGAAACTGATGTGGCTGTCAAGCTAAAAAATGGATAAAAACTGTGATCCCTTCACAAACACGGCAGCCCTACCTTCTGTTGCTACGTCAGCAATGGAGGAGGGCCACCCAAGCTCCCACTGCATCATAAGCTATAGTGCTTTCCCAGCTTTAGAAAAGTCTTAAAGTAGCTCCAAATAGATGCAAGAAGAACCATTCCACACAAGGCTGGACTAGCTAGGGCCCCAGCTGCTGACGAGGTGAGCCAGCTGTCTGCGCATCACAGGAGACTGTACACGAGGTCTTCTGGACCATGGTTGCCATGAGAGACAAGGAAGCAAGTGCCAAGAGGAGACTACAACACCGGGCAGCGCTGACACGACCCTGAAGAGAGCTGGCTACGCAGAAGCAGAAGCTTACTAAATAGCACCTCTTGGGGAGCCCGGTGGGTGACCTAGGCTAACTGGAGAAAGGGTGTGTATGTTTTACTTAATGTACATTTGCCATGACTCATTCCCTTGGACTCCAGGTGATGTACATGATCTGCAGGTTTTACTTGTTCCAGCAAAATACGAGAAAATGATGAGCAAGCAACAAGAGACATTCATCTCTTTCCCCCAGGAGAGAGCGCTTCACCGCTGTCTGACCCTAACTGAAAACAGAAGCTGGAGAGCACAGGGTGCTACTCTACCCACACCTTCCAGGTCCCAAAGAAACGACATAACTAACGGCAGCTCCGAACCAGCCCACCGTGCCACCGCCCACTGGCATACAGCAGCACAAACCACTCAGGAAACGGCTTTGGGGCTTTTATTTTCATGGTGAAGAGGAAGACTGCCCTTAGTGGGAATGGGTGACAAGATAAGGGGGTATGTGAATGGACAGAACCCAACTATCATCACCATGCTCTGAGAGCCAGGGCTGGTGTGGCAACTCATTCTCTTCCGGGACACATGAAACTCCCAAGCCTACAGAAATATGGTCAAGACTCGCCGCTTCCACTTCAACTAGACATAAAACACAGAAGAAAAATATATAAAACAACAACAAAACAGGTATTATTGTTATCTTTTCTTTCCCCAAACCCTACAAATAGTTTAAGCCAGCCGCTGACAATGAAAAGCTACAGAGAGTACCAGGTTTCAGACCACTGTACAGGGCTCCTAGTGAACATATTCCTGGGGGAAACGAAGGGAAGGTCACCAACCACTGGACCTTCTGAGATGCCTCAGACAGGAGCACAACCTAGCCCCTCCCTTTTGAGTCACATAACTTTTCTCACCGAATGACATGCATGTATGTACCATGTTCTCTCTACTTGGGAATTATTTCACTCAGCATGTTAGGAATGCTTGTTACACAACCTCTACATCAGGCAACTGTTGCTTCATGGAGAAAGTCAATGAGAAAGTCAATGAGATGATGCAAATGATAAAATGTATTTCACCAACAGCAACCTGTACTTCACCTCAAAAAAAAGGCAAAGACACAAAGATTTACTGTGCCACATGGTTTGCCATGAACATTACTGATCATACTGTTGAACCACAGATCCTAAGTAGATATGCCTTAAAGTAGGTGCCTAACAGATGTGTTTTAAGTCGCTTCAGTGTTATACATACCAGCAATTGTCAAAACTCTAAAACCATGAGTAAAACTTCATACTGTGCCAATGTAATCCAAACTAGGCACTATGATGGGATGATGCTCTAAAGTTACAGCTAAATCTCAGACTTCCACTATATATTCCAATGCCTGAACAATTCCTAACACTATAATTCAGCCAGAGCATACACCTGGCTAAAAGAATTCCCCATGTATTTCAACACTGTACTTATACTATGAAAACTATCTTTTGCCTTCCCCGTGCTTACACACACACACACACACACACACACACACACACACACTCCTTCACGTAACTGTACTGCCACCCCTAATTCACGGTATCTGACGGAGCACTCGTGGCTACAGACTCATCACCGAAACACCCAGATTTAAATGATACTCTACTTGTCCACTTGTATCTGCAGCATGCTGGAAGTGCGTAGCCAGAGCCGTCTCATCCTGGAAGACTTCATTACACTCCAGACATTTGAGACTGTGTCTACAGAGCTTGGAGGGATCTTCGTCTAGGGGCATGGCTGGGCTGACGGGTGTGCTTGGAGGCGCGGAAATAACTGCCCCAGTTGTGCCAGACTGGATTTTGGTTACAGTGTGTGTGCCAGCTCCCCCGGAGCTCTGCAGAGTGGAGGTGGTAGTATTGCTAGACGGAGAAACTATCATCTGGTCTGCGGGGACGGGTTTGAGGATTAAGTGGGAGCACTGCATCACCACTCCTTTCTCCTTATGCCCTCGGGCATGGGAAAGGAGGCTGCATTTGTTGTAAAAAACAAGGTTCTTTGTACAGTGGTTGCACGTTACTTCGATGCGCACACTACGCCTGTCATAGTGCTGGCTCAGGCTCTTTTCCAGGGCGAAGGAGTCCCCACACTCCAAGCACTTATACCCACGCATCGGTAACGTGATCCCTGCATTGGCGGGAGGACTGAGGTTTGGGATGTAAACAGGGACTGGATTGACGCTGCTCAGCACCTTGTTGAAGGCTTCCACCACAGAACTCTGCAAGGATGATACCACCTGGACTCGGGACACTTTTTTAGGTGGCTGGGAGGCCGCTGCATTGATTATTGCCTGCTTTATTTGTTGCTGAGGTTTGGTTAGCACTTGGCGGAGTTCAGAGGTGGCCTGGGCACCCTGAGGCAGAAGGTTAAGGTTGGCAAGGTGCACAGTCTTTGGCACGAGTTTGGCATTGGCCAGGCTGGATGCTGGCACCACAACGGTTTGCTGCTGGATGGCATTGGCAGCTTTGATGATGGCGCTGCTGGCACTCTGAACAGAGGCAGCAGATATGACTGTGGCTTTCACTGTTGTGTTGTTAGCAAGCTTCAGATTGATGACTTGAGACCCTGCCGTCTTGACAGCAGACACAGGAAGGAAAGCAGTAGCCACGGGCTTGATGGTGACCTGTTTGGGGGTCAGCTCTGCTGGGGAAACTGCACTGGTAACCATGGCCGTTTGCAGAGGTGCCCTGGGGGGAGAGGAAAGGACAGCGGCTGACGCTGAAGATGAGAGAAGCGACGTCACAGACGCCATCACGGATGCTGCCTGCTCAGAAGGCTTCTTCCCAGCGTCCAGATCCACTTCTGGCAACACTCTGGTCACCGTCCTCTTGATCTCCCCAGAAGATGTCTTAATGGTCTTGATACGAACTTTGGGGATTGCTGGGGTAGACCCCACAGGAGAGGACGGGGAGCCTTTGCTGCTGTTCTCACTGCACACACTCCTGGGACTATCCGATGGCTTCAGGGAGGCTTTCTTGGTGCCATCAATGAGATTCTGGGACTCAGGAGACTTGTCGGCGGGTTTGGGACTGTCATTCACTTCCTTTGGTAATGGAGAAGCTTCCCTTGAGTTGGCCACAGGTTCTTTGCAGGAATCTGAAGCTGCCTTTTTAGCACTCAGTGCTGCGATGGCAGCTATGCACGAAGAGAGCTTGGAGGATGACTTCGCTTTGGAAGATGTGACAGCAGCAAGGCTGGAATCATTCTTCTCAGAGCCCAGCTTCCCATCAAGGACCCTGTTCTCAAGCGTCTTCTCAGAGCTCTCCTTCAACTTCTCCTCTGCTTTTCTTTTAAAAGGCTCGTAAACACTCAGGGCTATGGAATTTGTTTCTGCCTCTCTCTTGACTTTGTTTTTCTCTACATGGCCTGATGTAGAGACCCCAGTCTTGCTCGCGTTTTCCCCTCCAAGGGACTTCAGCTTGTCGTAGTCCTGCTGGGAAGCTGAGCCTGCCAACACATTTGCTCTGAAACTGGACCTTGTGTCTTCCTTATCAGGAGGGTCGTCCACCTCTATCTTCTCATCATCATCAAACTCTTCAGCGCTGGAGATAGGGCTGAACTGGCTGAAGGCTGGGTCTTTAAGAGTCACCTCTGAGGTAGGTGCGTCTCCTTTTAAGGACTTTGATCCATCCTTACCATAGCTGTCAAGAGAGGATGCTGTGAGAAACCCGTTATGCAAGCCATTGCCTGTGGAATTGTGGCCGTCTTTTTCAACTCCCTCAGAGGAGTCGATGTTTCGAACGTTCTTCACAATCACACTAACGCCAACATCCGAGGATGATGGAGTGTGAGAGTCATCATCCACATGAGCATTCTGCTTTATGTGGCTTTCGTGGTCATCATGGCCAGACTCAATCGCTGCTTTGGGATCGACCATATCTGGTATATCAAATGCTGCCAAGAGGTCATCAAAGTCTGGGGTCTTCATATCCCCCATGGTCATGAATTTGATCAGATGTTCTGTTAAAGGAAGGGAAAAGAATTCTATCAGTAATTAACACTGATAATGAAGTCAGTCTTCTATAGGTCACACTAACACAGTGCTGATTATCGAGAAAGTGTGCAAGGCAACAACCCTACTTTGTGTAGAAACCTGAGTCAAAATGACAGCCAGAAAGTATAACCTAACACAATTACAGCCTCAAAGGGTATGCACAGGGTCACCAGCAGAACTTTAGAGTAGCCCTGGCAAAGCACAGAAAATTCATTTAGTGTTAACACCCAAAAAAGCTATCTACCTCCAGACCCATCAGTTTTCATAAAAAGCTATTCCTCCAGATATTTTCATCTTGATAACGTTTAACTCTACAAGCACAATTTGATAACTTCAGTCACCATCAGCTTTGGGATGCAACATTAACAGAAAATTACAATAAAAAAACTATAGACTTCAAAATGCATCCACAGAAAAATAAAAAGGTCATCTAAACCTACCACAGGGGGTCACTAAATTCATCTGGGATTTCTTTTCTTCTTAGTCTCTAAGAAAGTAATCCCATCCATTTTTAATTTTAGCTTTCTCTGCTGTGTTGAAAAGGGGATGTTCTGGGGTAAGACAGGGAGTTCTGGGAGAAAGGTAAACCAAGCCACTACAGAGTCGGCAGCAATGCAAACACAGGTCTGCTGTGCTCTTCAGAAGACACCATTGGCAGATGAAAAAGACTGGCCATGGAGGCACCGCCATTTCTGAACTGGCAGTTGCACCGCGGGGCTCTGTTACTTCCTGGAACACCCCCCCCACCCCCCGCGTCCACACTTGCCCCCTGTCACAGGTCATCGGAGTACAGGCACAGCGGCACTCATCTTTGCCTCATCAATAGTAAGGAATGAACAAGTCACACATGAGGCCAAAGCAAGATCTGTAGCAGAATGTTTGGGCTCAGCTCTGCCACGCACTAGCTCTGGACCCCCAAGAAGCAACAGATTCTTTGGTCTTGGCCCCACCATCAGCAGAGAGCAGCCAAGAAAAGAAGGAAAAACAGAAAGGAGAAGGGAGAAGCAGGAAGCAGTCAAAGCGGAACAGGCTGAGGCTGGGAACCCGCAATGGACAATCGACTGGCCTAGAGAACTTGGAGGTTTACATCCCTGATGCTCCACTCTTCAGGGTTCACTATGCTGCCCCTCTTTTAAATCTGCCCTACTGACTGCCACATCTTATTGAAGCATTTACCTTTTTCCTTACACGATCTAAAAACATCATGCACACCAGATGAGAGCAACAGTCTTGGGATCAAGGTAAAATGCAACACAGATGAGGGTAGATACCTAGGAAACCCTAGCCTCAGATATGCTGCAGCTCAAAGGACTCTCAGCATCTTACCAGTCCAGGGACAGATCTAAATGCCACTAGTAAGACGTTGAGGAAATCCTCTGCTGAGGAAGAGACAAGTACAAGTTCAGGGGATGCAGAAACATAAACCACCCCAGTTACAGGCACAGCTGGTGTTGTAATCAGCTGGCTTGCCCTGTCACCTAAGAGACAGGCCCTGCCCACTTCAATCTCCCCCCTTCCTGTCAAGACAGGCAGATCATGTGCCTCCACTCCATCTTTCTCTCTCTCTCTCTCCCCCTCCTTCTTCTGAAAAGGCAGCCTCTGCCTCTCCCTTCTCTCTTTCTCTGTTCCCCCCTTCTCCTGTCCCCTCTATAACTCCTTCCCAATACCCACTATATAAACTCTATACTCTACATGGCACATCTGTCTGTCTGTCTCCCACTGCAAAATGGAGGACATGAAAAACAAATCTGCCAGCTATTATGGCCATATAAAAGGATCAACTGACTTGAGAGCAGCCCCTGAATGTCCCCCACCTCTGTCCCCACATCACACTGTTGCTGTGAACTGAACACACATAACAAAGCTCCACTAACCAAGCGGCTCCATGATTTAGGTCTCCATTTTCTTTAAGCTCAGTACATGGAATCAAGCTAGGGTTCAGTGTAGCATGTTAGGGATGATACCTACCCAGGGCCACAAAAACAAAAATGAACCAGGGGGCCCAGAACCATGACCCACCCCCCTTTCACTCAGTACCATAGCTCAAAGGCGGATCTTTAAAATATACAAAAGCTGGGGCTCAGACTGCAGTCACCCCAGTGGTAGCGAGGTCCATAGCAACTCTAGGCTTTCTTCCCAGGAACATGAGATTTGTGTCTCATCCTTTCTTTATAATGATGTAATCAAAAGACATCACACTGTCCATCAGAGAGCAATTGGTTCAGAAACAACAGCAGGAGATAATTCAATTGCTCACTGGGTGACAGGCCCAGGGCAGAAAATGGTAAGAAATCTGAAAAGGTCACCAAACTTGTGTGATCGGCAAGTGCTCAGAAGTGCTGTGGCAGGTGTTCTTAGGTGTCTTCTTAAGAACCAAATCTGTCCATCATTACCTTCTCCCGTTATACCTAAGGTCCTGCCTCACACACTCCACAGGGCTAGATCATCCAGTCATAGACAGCCTGATGCCCCCACATTTCCCATGCTTTCCTGTATACTAAACTCAAGCACAGCTAAGGTCCGACAGCCTCAGAAAAGACTGTGTCCTGTCTGTAACACACATATACATCCCTCAGGAACCAGTCATGCCAGCTCCCTGTCCTCCACCCACCCACACACACACATATAGTTCACCCTCTTCTCTTGGGAACAGTAAAAGAACACACACCAGGAGAAATAGTTGGGCGTTCTGCAGATTTCAAGCTTAGTTGCCAATGGCTCACCTTTCATCAAGTCTGATGCTAAGCTAAAAAGGCAAAGCAAGCACAAAGGACAGTATACCACCGCCTGAAACCCAAGACGGCTGTGGCGGCAGGCTCCTCTCTCCGGGTTGTATAACTAATGTAATAAACACCACTCTGTAACTTCACGCCTCTTTTTTGGTTGATAGAAATGTGTTTCAAACCCGCAATCACTTGTCCTATCACCTGACCCCTCCCACACCTGCTCAGAGGGGGAGCTGCTCAGTACTCTGAATACGGAGAGGATGCCTCCATCTCAGTTTCTCTCACTTTCTGCCCAGCCTTAAAAATCAATTCCTTCATATAAAATCATTGAAAAAACAAACCCCAGCCTTTTTAACTTTTATTACATTTATCTGCATGTGTATGCTTACGGGTGAGTTCCTTTTTAAAGGAAGATCATGTGTCTTCCCTAAAAAGATCAATGATCAGTCTGGACAAGGAAGCCCACGCCTTTCATCCCAGGAAGCAGAGGCAGAACAATCTGAGTTCGAGGCCAGCCAGTTTCAAAGTGAAACCCTTTTTCAAAAAAACAAAAACAAAAAAATCCAAATATCATTTATTAATACCCACAATTTACTTATAGCAGTGTACTTAATATATAAGGCCAAGAGAAAAATGGTAGGCTGTTTTACAATTTATTTATTTATTTATTTATTTATTTTTCAAGACAGGGTTTCTCTGTAGCTTTGGAGCCTGTCCTGGAACTAGCTCTTGTCGACCAGGCTGGCCTTGAACTCACAGAGATCCACCTGCCTCTGCCTCCCAGTTTTAAAGGTGTGTGTGCAACACCACCACCAGTAGGCTGGTTTACATTTTAAAGAAGAAAGAAAAAAAGAATTTAAAAGTCTGTCCAGTGACTACTCTACTTCCTCCAATGACACAGACACTTCCTTTCCTACTAAAATGAAATTATAGGAAAATCTTCCATCTTTTTTGATACAAGCTAAGACTACCCAGTCAAAAGAGAAACTTTAAAAAACTATTTACCCCTTAGTCATACTTATATTTTACAATAAAAAGTTGTTCAATTAAAAAACTATTTTAGCCAGGCAGTGGTGGTGAATGCCTTTAATCCCAGTACTCAGGAGGCAGAGGCAGGCGGATCTCTGTGAGTTCGAGGCTAGCCTGGTCTACAGAGTTAGTTCCAGGACAGGCTCCAAAAGCTACAGAGAAACCTTGCCTCAGAAAGCCAAAAATAAATAAATAAATAAATAAACAAACAATAAAACTATTTTATCTGTAATAAAAGTTGCTTTGCAATTTCCAACTGGAAAGAGTTTGTGGAGCATGATGGTACCTGTTTATATAATACTGCAACTCTGTCAGTAAAGCCTGCTTAGCCCAAGAGATCCAGCCTCAAAACAAAAAGCCATTCACTCAGTCTTTTAATCTCAGAAACAAGTGATCTCTGTGAGCTCCAGGCCACCAGGATTACATAGTGAGACCCTATCTCAAAAATAAATAAAATCAATGAAAGGAAGAAAAGAAGCAAAAGGAAATGGGGAGGGGACAAGTCAAAGTCAGGCCTAAAGGCTCAGGATGCCCTACCACTGAATGGGAATCCCACTAGTCCCGTGAGGAAAGACGCAGGCCTAGATCCAATCCCAGCTCACCTTTTATAAACATGAACAGGCTAGAGTAGTGAGTCGGTGGATAAAGACACTAGCTACCAGGCTGACCACTGAGTTCAGTTTCTGGAGCCAGCAAGGCACAAGAAGACACTCAGCATCTACAGGCTGTCCTCTGACCTTGACATATGTGCCCGAGAGAAGATTCACACACAAAAATAAATGAAATATAAAATAAATATGAAAGTTAGCCTGACCAGTGCAGACATATCAAATTCCCCACAAAATGAAAAAACTGGCATTCCCCTTAATGAAAATCAGTGACTGCTATAAACCAGAACTGTGGTGTTAAAAGCGGGGCGTTACTTTCCTGTTGATGTGGTTGTGAGATTTATTTCACTGAATTTTCAAAGCAACTAAATTAAACTAAAGGACCTAAGACACGGCTTATCGTTCTCCTCAACAGCACGTTTGTATCATGCAAGGTTTCAAATTTACCTAATTCCACCCAAAACTGAACAGTGTGCTCACACTCTCCACACCCTGCCCTTCTCCCCCTCCCTCCCCTCCACCAATCTCCTGTCACTTGAGGATTTCCAGAGATAACCAACCACAGAGCACGTCTTCAAGCAAAAAGAGGAAGCAATCACACCT